TCAAAATCTTGAATTTACTGATCCAAAACAACTGGAATATTTTAAAAATTATCTTGGTAAATAATAAATATACTAAAATTATATATTTTAAATAATCTTCTCTCCAGTTTGACAGCCCGTCTACCGCCAACCTAGTCACTATCACGAAAACAACCACTTCGATCGTTGCGATACCTGTTCCCGTCATCTACTCCTAATTTACAGCACAGTATTCAATTGCAAGGCTTACCGTAAGCACTAGTAGCATCCAATCACCATAGACACCATGAAATTGTCACAAATTAGCACTAACAAACGAAAGCAAGCAGTCTGTACACAGTGTGTTTCGCGGTCTGTACACAATTATGTGTTTTGCAGGAACAACTACAGAGCAATTTTTCTGCACTGCCGTTGCGCCGAGAGTTGGACGAAGCGCAGGACGACATGCGTCGGGGCGGTTTTCGTCGGTGGTTGTTCGGAGACGTTGGGGAAGCTTTTCATAGGATTAGTGGTGGCGGTATTTAATAAAAAATCAAGAACACAGTGTTGATATGTGTGCTATTAGGTCAATGATGAAATACGATTATACGATTCCAATGCAATGTGAATGAGATCAAAGAGATTGATATGCACAATTACGAGAATCTGTCTTAGATGTAGTTTGTAACATATAAGCATATAAACTATAAATAACATTTACGGCTATAATCAAAGGAACAATGTGCATCTGTAGTTTATCGGTGTTTCAGTTTTATATATAGTTTATAAAATAAAGAAAGTTTATACTATTATTTGTGTATACAAGCTTAACCTTCAATACTAAACCAAAGATGTGCTGTTAGAATGCCAATGGCTTAACCACTCATTTCCATGAAGTTAAAGCATTTATTTACTTTCATAATCTAGATGTTATGTTTATTTTCAAAGCACACATGACTAATAAGAGCCCTTTCTATATTCTCAAATATTCTTCTTCTTCTTCTTTTTTATAAGCAAAATGCTTGTTTAATGTCGATTAATGCCTCTATTGGAGGTTATCACTCCATCTTTTGCGTGGTCGCCCTTCTTCTTCTACCTTTTGGTGATTTGTCCCTCGCTATTCTGACTAATCGGGTCTCTTCCATTCTGTTTATGTGTTCGTTCCATTCCTTTTTTCTGTTCAGTGTCCACTCATTTATTTCTGGTATATTGCATTTTCTTCTGATCTCTTCACTCCTCATTCGATCCCTCAGTGTGTTTCCTGTAATTCTCCTCAGTAAATGCATCTCCGCTGTTTCTAGTAGTTGCTGAGTTTTGGAGGTATCCGGTCTTGTCTCTGAAGTGTATGTCATTATTGGTCTTATTGTTGTTTTGTAGATTCTTGATTTCACGTCGGTATTAATGTGGGAATTGCGCCATATCGTGTTATTAAGACAACCTGGTATTTTATTAGCTTTTTGTACTTGATTTTTCACTTCCTTCTCCACATCTCCGTAGCTAGACAGTGTAATTTCTAGGTAATTTGTCTCCATTACTTGCTCAATGCTGATACCGTCGATTTTCTGTTTACATCTAATTGGTTCTTTACTGATTACAATTGTTTTAGTTTTCTATGTATTCTCAAATATTTAACCTATGTAACTCAACATCTATTAGGTAAAGCCTATGGAGGTACGGCCATTATTATAAGAAATAATATCAAGCATCATGATATAAATAAAATTAGTAATTAACATCCAAGCCACATCAGTGTCGATCGAAGATTCACAAATCCTGATTATTCTATCTGCTGTTTACTGTCCACCAAATAAAATATTTAATGCTGATTATTTTACTGAAAGCCTCATGAGGCATCTCCTAAAATTATTCCTATAAGAAGATCTACAAGCTCTGTGAAAGTCAAATTTCTCCCAACCAGTTCGGATTTACAAATGCGGTTGGTACTAGAGAGTACAAGTCGTTCTCAGTACAAGTCTTATTCCAGAGATGCAGAGACGTCAACTGCGACGTATACGCATGTCTGGTTGATAACGAGAAAGCGTTTGATCGAGTACACCATGCGAACATGATGCAAATACTAAAAGAAGTAGGAATTAAAAACCAAGATCTGAAAATAATTAGAAATCTGTACTGGAATCAGACAGCAAATCTCAGAATTGAAGGTGAACACACTGACTATGTGAAAATCATGCGTGGAGTAAGGCAAGGCTGTATTTTGTCTCCTCTAATTTTCAGTCTGTATTCTTAAAGAATATTTATCGAAGCTTTGCATGAAACTGAACAAGATATTCTACCAAATGGTTACCGGCTAAGCAACATCAGATATGTAGATGACACTATAGTATTTGCGGACAACTTGGAAGACATAGAGTTGTGTAGAGGTAGACGTAAAGGGGTGTAGAGTTGTGTTATTGAGGTAGCACCTTTTATCGGAATGACCACATCAAGCGTCATAGACGGGAGATGGTTCTTGTTAACTGGTCCCCATAAGACAACTAACTCTCACTTATGGCTCCACGTGCCACACCCCGGACAACTGCATTGGTGTGCAGGCTAAACTAAGTGAGGGTAGCCAGATATGGCGAGAATTTCACCAATATTACCGGTATAAGCAATCTTCCACTTACCGACCAACGGCTTCGGGCGGATGAGTGAAGGCGGATGAACAAAAAAAAAACTGTCAACGGCATAAGAATGTAGAAGGCAAGGGGAAACCACTACATTTAAGACTACATGGATATCGGAGGCCATGATTCGGCAGGAAAGATCACTCATACACCACAGGGCCTCTTAGGTCGATATTAAATGAAATCCCTGTGAAATACCCATTAGAAATACATCTTCCAAAAAGAAGACTAAAATCGATAGAAAGTGTATGAAGATAGGCACGTGGAAAGTTAAGTCGATATACTAAGCAGGTAAAGTCCATAACGTCATTCAGGAAATGGAAAGACTTGACATAAAAATATTAGGACTAAGTAAAACCAGATGGCCAAATTCAAGTGACATATTAGTAGGCCAAACAAAGATATACTACTCTGGTAATGACAACGACGCAAATCACTGGAACGGAGTAGCGATATTAGTTGACAAAACTACCCAGAAATTTGTAACTGGCTTCTTACCCATCTCGGATAGAGTTATGATGGTAACACTAAAAACAGCTCAATCTAGAGTCAATATAATTCAAGTATATGCTCCCACTGCAGAAAAGTCGGATGAAGAGCTCGAATAGTTTTATAATGAATTACAACAAGCTTTAGAAGTAACCAAGTCTGGAGACGTTATCTCCATGACAGTAGTCATGGGAGATCTGAATGCAAAAATCGGTAGAGGAAGTCAAGTTGATTTTATTGGAAACTTTGGACTGGGCACTCGTAACGAGAGAGGAGACAGATTGGCCCAATTCTGCCAAGAGACCGATTTGATTGTCGCGAATACTTATTATGATTTGCCACTCAGGAGACTCTATACATGGAAATCTCCAGCAGACAACTAACATAACGTTATCAGAAGTCAAATTAACTACCTTCTTATCTGCAAACGATACCGAAATTCCATAAAATCAGTAAAATCATACCAAGATCAGATCACAACCCAGTTGTAGGAAGGTTTAGAATTAATCTAAAAAAGCTTGTGGCTAAAACTAAAGTAGAGAGGATACAAGTATCCCGTTTTAAAGATCCATCAACAAAAAAGCAAATCACACTAAAAATTAAAGAAGAGCTCACCAAAATAGAAACTATTCCTACTGAAGATGCGAACAGGAAATGGCATATATTAAAAGATGCTCTTATACGCACATGTGAGATGACACTAACACCTGAGCTGATCAAGAACAAAAATGAATGGATGACCGATGAGATTTTGGGTATCATCGAAGCAAGAAGATTTTATAAAACCAAAGACAAAAACATGTATAATATTATACACACAGAAATAAGGAGAAAGATCAGAGATGCAAAGGAAAGATGGTATAGTGACAGATGCGAAGAGATTGAACAGTTGGTGGAGAAACATGATAACTTAAACCTTCATAAAAAAATAAGGGGAAATAACAGGCACTAATATTAAGAAGAAATCAAACACACTGCTGGATAAAAACGGCAAAATAATTATAGACGCCGGTGTAAGGCTTAAAAGATGAGAGAAATATATTCAAGAGCTATTTAACAGAAGATGAGGTAAGAAAATCGCAAGAGAATGCAGCGATTACCGCACCATTTTGATGTCTCAAATACTAAACTTACTACTTAAAGTAATCCATAAACTAATGTATCACAAACTTGACATAGACGTTAATGATACACAATTTGGTTTTCACAAAAGCCTAGGAACGCATGAAGCTCTTTTTTCACTTAATATACTAATACAAAGACGCCTGGACGTCAATCAAGATATATATGCATGTTTTATTGACTATAATAAATCATTCGATAAAGTATGATATAAAAAATTATTGAATGTCCTGAAATCAAAGAAGATTGACTACAATGACCTCAGCATCATATTAAATTTATACTATAAACAGCGAGCAAAAGTACGTGTTAACGAACAGCTGCCAGAAGAAATTGAAATTAGACGTAGAGTGAGATAGGGATGCGTATTGTCGCCAATTATTTTTAATGTCTACTCTGAAGAGTTCCTGAAAAACGCTTTTGAGGGTAAAACAGCTGCAATAAAAGTAAATGGAGTTCCTATTAACATTAGATATGCTGTTGACACTATGTATCTTGTCTTTTTTCGGCTTTACCTTTGTATTCCTGTCTTGTTTTGTTTCATTTTCATAGTTCGTAATCCTTTTCTTCGCATTGTTCGTCTTCATTTCTTTCCTTTTCATGCTAATGCTTAGTTTTTGCTTTGGTCTCTACTACCAACGTTTGGTTCATGCCATCCCAGCGCCATATTTCCTGATCGGAATATATCTATTTTCTTATATCCGACTTTCACTTTTCTCCCTTCCTGTCTTAGTTCTCGGGCTTTCTGTCTGACATATTTCTGTACAATTCTATCCTTCTTTGACAGGTCATCATTGATATAAACTACACATTTTCTTTTCGATTTCTTAATTTGATTTTGTTTCGCATGACTTTTCTTTGGTCGTCTTCTTTTTCAAGCTCAACCAGACAGACTTTTTCTCCCAGCTTCACAATCTTCTCTATTTGAACATCGACTGCTAATTCTACCTGCATAACATTTTTTATTTCATGTTTTAGAGCCTCTGGGATATTTGTATCTATGTTCATGCCTTGTGTAACTATATTTTTACGCCTTTTTCCATTCTTTTATTTGAAAAACTACCTTTTTTAATTTTGTGATTTCCTCTCGTTGAAGAACATAGGGGGATTTTATTTCTCCCCCTGAATATGTTGCTAACTGCTTATTGAAGCAGTACCTTCGATTTTGGTTCTATGTAGTTATAATAAAATAAAATTGGTTACCTTATATTTTGGCGATCACACTCTCGTAATTACTTTAAATTACACTTAATAATTAAAACTATATTTTTTTTTTATATAACACAAAATCTTTTGTGGAGAAATGAGCGATTTATTTTAAAAGTGACAAATATTAGAGAGTTATTAAAATTGACAAATATTAGAGTTATTAAAATTGACAAATATTAGAGTAATGTCAGAAATTATAGAATGACTGTTGTCGACGTCATAAAAGGTTAAGAAGGGAATTTCTCGCAATTATGTGCAGCAAATAGAAACAGCATCTGTCTTGCATTATCGGCAATTCGACCTATGAATTTTTTAGGTTGCGATATGCAACATAGTCCCCCCCTTGATGTGAACGCATCAAAAAGAAAAAAAAAAATGTTTATGTAAAATTTGAAGAAAGGTATAACTAAAACTAACAAACTATTAATATTCTTGAAGGTGAGTCATAGGAAGAGGACACAGTTTAGCAATAGAGCGAACATATAAGCCTTCAGGAGTTCTGACCTTAACAACTCTTACCTTGTTGTCCTTTCCCGGATATGTCTCAACTACCCGTGCTATAGGCCATTTGAGAGGAGGCGAGTTTTCGTCCTTAAGCAAGACGAGATCACCAGGCTTTATGCCTACCTGAGGAGTGAACCATTTAGGTCTATTTTGCAGCCTATTAAGATAATCGCGGGTCCAAACCTTCCACATATGCTGCTGAATTCTTGTGCATTTATTCCACAAAGACAATTTATTTTCTTGAATATCAGAAAGATCTGATTCAGGATAAGACATTAAATTAGATCCAATAAGGAAGTGTCCGGGAGTAAGAAAGGAAAAATCGGAAGGGTCATCTGAGAGCGCACAGATAGGGCGTGAATTGAGCACTGCCTCGATCTGCGAAAGTACAGTGGATAGTTCTTCGAAAGTAAAATTGGAGTTACCCATTATTCTTACGAGATGGTATTTGAAGCTCTTTATGGCAGCTTCCCAAATACCACCGTGGTGTGGTGAGCGTGGAGGGATAAACTTCCATTGAATTTGACACGAAGTAGCGAAAGAGCGAATAGATTCAGAGGTATCACCTTTAAGAAGCAACTCATAAAGTTCTTTCAATTGGTTTTTCGCACCTAGAAAGTTTGTGCCATTATCGCTGAAAATGATATTCGGATTACCCCTTCGGGCGATAAACCTTTTCAGAGTCAATAAGAACGCTTCAGTAGAAAGACTGGAAATTAATTCCACATGCACGGCGCGAGTAGCTAAACATACAAACACTGCCATATAGGCCTTAGTAAGGGGAGCTCTCTTGAGTTTAGAGGTCTTGATGGGAAACGGACCACCAAAATCAACTCCAACATTTATAAATGGACGTGCAATTTGAACTCTTTCCCTCGGGAGATTAGCCATGATTTGAGACGCGACTTGTGCGTTAAAACGGTAACAAGTGAGACAATTTTGTATTATACGTTTGATTTGTCGAAGACCATCAAGAGGCCAGAATTTCAATCTAACATTAGACAGTGTATTTTGAGGGCCTGAATGTAGAAGTCTTCGATGTTCTCGGGTAAGTAATAAATTGACAATATGTGATTTTGAGGGTAACAGTAGAGGAAATTTCTGATCATAAGGAACATCTGAAAGGAGAAGACGACCGCCTACTCGTATCATTTGAGACGAATCTAGAAAGGGATTCAATTTACAAATAGACTTATCTTTAAGCAGACGATTATCCATTAAAAATTGGATTTCCGAACTGAAGAAATGTGACTGGGTCAATTTGATGATCATTAACTCAGAACTAGAGAGTTCATGTGGAGTGAGAGGACCTGTACGTCTATGAGACTTAGCTCTTACATTGTGAATAAAACGAAGGCAGTATGCAAAAACTCTCTGAAGTCGAGTGAAACATGAAAATTTGCAGAGGGCATCATATACTTGTGAATCTGGTTTTCTGATCAGATGAGTAACCCTTTTGAGTTCAGGCAGTTCATCAACATTAATACTCGAAGGACCATTAGATACAAAGAGGTTGAAATCAAAGTGTGGATCTGACAAAAATTGAGGACCATTAAACCAAAAATCACAATCAAGCAACTGCAAGGGTGTAGCACCACGAGATAATATATCCGCGGGATTGTCTTTCGATCGTACATGTCTCCATGTATGGTTGGAAGTGAGTTCTTGAATTTGAGTTACTCTATTGGATACAAAGGTAGACCAACGAGAAGGGTGTGATTTAATCCATGCGAGGACGATTTCTGAATCTGTCCATAAATTGACAGAATTTATCTGAGATTGGGATGGAATCAAGACAGAAAGAATCTTCGTAACAAGATTAGAGAGTAATAATGCTCCTAGAAGTTCTAATCGAGGAAGAGTCACAACTTTTACAGGACTAACACGACTCTTTGAGGAGATTAGATTGCAAGATATAAAGCCATTTTCATGTGACGTTCTTAAATAAACACAAGCACCATACGCGCTAAGACTTGCATCCGAAAACCCATGTATTTGAGTACTTGTTACATTGCTAGAATTTTGCAGCAACCTAGGAATCTTGAGATTGGAGATGTGAGGAAGTGTTTGTAAAAATAGATTCCATTCGGTAAGCAATTTTGGACTGAGAGGGTCATCCCAATTCGACCTTTCTAACCAAATCTTTCTCATAATTAATTTGGCAGATACCACTAAAGGGTTAATCAATCCTATAGGGTCATAAATGGAAGCGATTAAAGAGAGAACTTCTCTTTTTGTATATGTATCCTTAACGGTAACCTTTGGCACAAGAACTGAAAAATGATCGGAGTGAAAATTCCAACATAGGCCGAGAATTTTGTTCGTGTGATTTTCAGGATTGATTACATAACTAGCTTCATTAGAGATATGAGAAATACCTGCGAGAAATTCAGGTGAGTTTGCACACCATTTATGAAGCGAGAAGCAAGCGAGGTTTAAACATTCCGTTAATTGACGATGAATTTCGAAGAGTGTTTCGAAATCGTTACAGCCATAAAGCACATCATCGATATAACAGCAATTTAAAAGAGCTTCACTAGCCAAAGGAAATTTGTCGGAATTGTTTTGAGCTAATTCCTTAAGACATCTAGTGCTAAGAAACCCGGAGTTATTTAATCCATAAGTGATAGTTTCGAGTTGAAGACATTTCAAATCCTCTTGAGGTGAATCACGCCACAAAATGTTCAACAGAAAAACCTGTTCGGGATTTACTCGAATTTGTCTGTACATATGACGTAGATCTGCTACAATACAGTATTTAAATAATCTAAAATTTATCAAAATATCGAATAATTCGCGTTGTACCGTATAACCAGGAAGCATTATGTCATTAAGACTTAGATTTGAGGTAGTTTTCATACTGCCATCAAAGACGACACGCAACTTATTTGTTACGCTATCCTTTAAAACGCAATGGTGAGGAATAAAATATTTTAAATCAGAGTGAATATTTCGAGTGGAGAGAGGCACATATCTGCAATGTCCAAGTGCAATATATTCATGAATAAATTGTTTATACTGTACATATAATTGATCTGACTTGATCAGTTTCTGTTCGAGATTTAGGAATCGCTTCTTTGCGAGGAAAACGATTCGCCCAATTTTTTATATTCGTTGGGAGATTTGAAAGGGAGATCTACTTGGAATCTACCAGATGATAATATTTTAAGTGACGATTTAAAAATGTCTTCGGCCTGTTGCTCCGAAGGAGTTAGGATTTTTGGAGTACAAGTAAAAGACGAGATTTCTTCTACTTCCCAAAACGACCGTACGAGTGAATCGGTATTTTGAGCTTGAACGAACAAGGATACTTCATTTCGAGGTTGAGTATTTTCTTGAATGTTAAGTATGGAATATGAGTCAATTAACCCAGAGGATTGAGGTACATTTCCACCTACAAGATATCCGAGATGAGTATTTGTTAAGGTAGGAAGATTAGGGCCTAATTTTATTAACCCATAAGTGAGTAAGTCGAAATAAACATCTGCTCCAAGCAACATTTGAACTTCGGCAGGAGTACAAAATTCTGGATCAGCCAGGTGAATGTTTGGTGGAATTTTGAGGGCATTAAAATCCAATGTAATTTGAGGGTGCTTACAAGTGATGGTTGGGAGAATCGCACAAGAGAGTGTAAAATGTTTTGTGGGATTGACATTTGAGAAAATATTTAAATCCACCATTTTATTCGACGTCGAACAGATTTCGGATATCCCAGAAATGTGAAGACTTTTTGTGTAAGGAATACATTTCAAGCGACTTGCTAATTTCTCAGTGATAAACGAAAGCTGACTAGCTGAGTCTGTAAGGCAGCGAACCTTAACGGGATTATTATGAGAATCATAAATTGTAACACATGCTGTTTGGAGTAGAACCTCCTTTTTGCCTGAGAGTGCAGAGAGAGATGATGCTCGGTAGACATCATTAGACTGACATTGATTTGCTATTCGTGGAATTGCAGGAGAACTTGAAGTTTCGCCTTGAGTATTGGGATCACGAGATACATTAGAGTGAGTACGAGAATTTGAAGTATCATGTATATTGTGAGTCTGGCGAGTATTTTGAGAATTACGATTTCCTTGTGAGTCTTGAGAGTGACGAGTATTTTGGAAGTGAGTGTTTCTAGTGGGTAGACTACAAGAATCTTGATTTGTTCTTGAAATGAACCGAGAACTATTTGAGTTATGATTAGAAGCGTTAGAGAAATGGAGCAATGTGTGATGTCTCCTGTTACATTTGGCGCAATTCGACGAAGAGGTACATGAGCTTGCTGAATGACCACTAGCCAAGCAGTTGAG